GTGAAATCTGTTCAAGAACTTGCAGTTTAAGGTAAATATTTAATATGTTTTTCCACAGAAAAAGTCATTTTTGGAGGAGAAATTACGCATTTTTGGGATTTTTGATCTGCGAGCAGGGGCCGAGCCAAAAAGTGATGTTATAGTGGACACGAATATTTCAACAAATTAAAATTATTTTTTTTTCGATCGATAGAAATAAGACAATAATTTATATTTAATTACATCATATTTAATATTTATAAGTTCATTAAACTCAACGTACCAAAATTTGGTAAACTTAGTATAAACAAACGACATTAATTTTTTTTTACAAAATATAAATTAATTAAAATCATTTATAATTGACTCTGGTAAATTTTCATACTTTGAAATCGTTGCATAACAATTTTACTGTTATTTATATACACAATCATTTTATCACTTTAATATTTATAACTCATTCGATCAATTATACAGTTCAATATGCACTCTATAATTTCTACCATAATTAGCAAAATAAATGTTAAAAACACAAGTAAACTAGCGAGTATATCTATATAATAAAATAGCTTACAATTCAAATCTCAAAAGATAAACAAAATAATTTTNCGAAAATTGTTTGACGAACGAACTATGAAATAGAGATTCCAGAGACTGATCGAGATGATAAAGAAGCTGTTCTGCAAATTATCATACAATTCCTATGAACAAATATGCATCTGNTGAAAATTGTTTGACGAACGAACTATGAAATAGAGATTCCAGAGATTGATCGAGACGATAAAGAAGCTGTTCTGCAAATTATCATACAATTCCTATGAACAAATATGCATCTGGAGAATAATTTATACAAGTAAAAACAATTTGCCGTACGTACGTAGCCCACTCTGACTTATATTAAGAGAGAGAGAGAGAGATGCTAAAAGACTTGGAATTTTTGAAATCAATGTTTATTTGTTGGACTTGACTACGTTCTCGGTACTGTTACTTGCCGACTAATTTTATTACTTTAATTGATATTTTTATAATTTTTATGGGATATTTTATAATAAAAACTTTATTATTTTTATCACTTTTTTTTAGTATAAAAAAAATTATCACTTTTATGACTGATTTACAATTTTTGTGAATTTTTTTATTATTTTTGTTGGTGGTTTATTAAATTTATAAATATTTTTATTATTTTTATGAGTATTTTTATCATTATTTATGATTACTATTTTTTTTATATCACAACAATAATAAAAATATCTAATAATAATAATAATTAAAAAAACTCACAAAAGTAATAAATATCAATACCTACCACTTTTTTTTTGCCCCATACCATAGATAACTCCTTATTTGTCAGTGAATTAGACGAAAAAATTAAATAAAAAAGTACGTATGGGATGCCGTCAGAAAAAAACTCTTAGGTTTTTTTTTTGTATAATTTTTGAGAGGGGTTCAAATTGATTTGTTCAAATTTGAATTTAATTTGAAGATGAGATTCAATAATTAATATTATTCATACCCATATTTGGCATGCACAGAGATATATAACTATTATGATAATATATTTGTATTTAAATAACTATTGTATCCCTTAACTAATTTGTGTATATGAGATATATAAGATATATGAGGGTATAAATGTCAATTGAATGTTAAACTCATAAACTCACATATGAAACTCATTTTCCTTGGGTTTTATGAAACCCAAGTATGTGAGTTTCATGATCGGGCCAAGACCAGGTTAGGTTTCAAACCCTGGACTAAATGTATAATTGTTAAACATAGATTTAAGAGAGTTTAATCCCCGACCCAGGATCTAAAATCCCTTAAACCCACATACCAAACATGTTCTTAGTGTTTGTTTGGATGAATTTTAGGGAAAAATTTAGATTCAAACCCTTTTTTATAAAAATGAGATTCAACATTTAATCTAATTCATATTCNTATATCACAACAATAATAAAAATATCTAATAATAATAATAATTAAAAAAACTCACAAAAGTAATAAATATCAATACCGTACCACTTTTTTTTTGCCCCATACCATAGATAACTCCTTATTTGTCAGTGAATTAGACGAAAAAATTAAATAAAAAAGTACGTATGGGATGCCGTCAAAAAAAAACTCTTAGGTTTTTTTTTTGTATAATTTTTGAGAGGGGTTCAAATTGATTTGTTCAAATTTGAATTTAATTTGAAGATGGGATTCAATAATTAATATTATTCATACCCATATTTGGCATGCACACAGATATATAACTATTATGATAATATATTTGTATTTAAATAACTATTGTATCCCTTAACTAATTTGTGTATATGAGATATATAAGATATATGAGGGTATAAATGTCAATTGAATGTTAAACTCATAAACTCACATATGAAACTCATTTTCCTTGGGTTTTATGAAACCCAAGTATGTGAGTTTCATGATCGGGCCAAGACCAGGTTAGGTTTCAAACCCTGGACTAAATGTATAATTGTTAAACATAGATTTAAGAGAGTTTAATCCCCGACCCAGGATCTAAAATCCCTTAAACCCACATACCAAACATGTTCTTAGTGTTTGTTTGGATGAATTTTAGGGAAAAATTTAGATTCAAACCCTTTTTTATAAAAATGAGATTCAACATTTAATCTAATTCATATTCATGTTTGGTATACAACACATACATATATAGGACCCACGGATATATCATAATTATTAACAACTATTTATCTTATAAATGACTATTTTACCTTTGATCAATCTAATTCATATTCATTTTAAGGGGTACAATTATCTTTTATTTCCTTAACTCATCTTCTCAAACCCATCTCCCCTTAGATTTGACGAAATTCATGATTATGAATTTAATCTTCTAGCCAACTATGGGCCAAANAGATTCAATAATTAATATTATTCATACCCATATTTGGCATGCACACAGATAAATAACTATTATGATAATATATTTGTATTTAAATGACTATTGTATCCCTTAACTAATTTGTGTATATGAGATATATAAGATATATGAGGGTATAAATGTCAATTGAATGTTAAACTCATAAACTCACATATGAAACTCATTTCCCTTGGGTTTCATGAAACCCAAGTATGTGAGTTTCATGATCGGGCCAAGACCAGGTTAGGTTTCAAACCCTGGACTAAATGTATAATTGTTAAACATAGATTTAAGAGAGTTTAATCCCCGACCCAGGATCTAAAATCCCTTAAACCCACATACCAAACATGTTCTTAGTGTTTGTTTGGATGAATTTTAGGGAAAAATTTAGATTCAAACCCTTTTTTATAAAAATGAGATTCAACATTTAATCTAATTCATATTCATGTTTGGTATACAACACA